CCGTTGCCTCCCCCCAGGTCACGTCGCATCTCCCCAAAGTCACGAAGAAGCCGCTGATGCTGAAAGCTCCTGCCGAGACCTTTCTGTGGAACCAGCTCCCAGCTGCAGTGGAGGCTGCGAGAGACCCTGCACCTCCGAGTCCGGCCCAGCCGCTGCCCCCCGTCGGCTCCGTGACCCCAGCCGGCAACTGGCGGACGGCACTGGGGGAAGGGGAAGGTGGCTCCAGGCCTCCTCCTGGCTCAGCTGAGGAGGACGTTGCATCCTTCTTCATGACGCAGGTGAGGCCGGGCTGTAAGTGTTCAGGACCGCAGGGCTTGTCCAGAAATGGTCCGTAGATGGATCTTCGTTTCCTAAGTGAATGAACTGTGGGCACCAGTGGTTATAACCCTCCTTTGATTGCAAGGGATTGAAGGAAGGAAGCACTAGAAAGAAGCATAAATGCCATGTTGTGACCAAGGACAAGAATTGGCGGCCTATTTTGCAGGGTGGCGTGGGGCTGTGCTGGCTTGGTGGGTAGCCCCAGCTGCAGGAGCTTGTAAGTCCAGCATCGTCCCTGCGGCATCTGCTGGAAAACTCCCTCCTAGAGCTCACCAGGGCAGCTTTTTGACTTGATTTCCCTGAAAATCTTGGGATTATCAGGGGGAAAAAAGTCTGCACTGGGATGGGGATGGCCCCTCTCTCCTCTGTGCCCAGTCCCGCGGAGCAGAGATGGGATAAAATGGTGGCTGCGTGGCTCAGTGCCACCAGGAGAGACCTCTGTCCACAGCAGGACAGGCTCTGGCTGACTCCATCAGCTTGACTGGTAAGAAAGGGCCACTGCAAATTCCTTTATTTTGCTGCTTTGAGGTGGAGGATGTGTCCAGACCCCTGCTGAGACCCGCGACAGGGGGCAGGCTGGAGAAGGGGAGCGAGCAGAGGCGGGAAGGGAGCTCCCAGGTGGTTCCAGAGCGATACAAAGGCTACGAGGAGCTGCTCGGTGGAGACACGGACCCAGGTTTTATCGAGCCCGTCGGTGAGGATAGCAGAAGGCTTTTGCTCAGAAAAGCCTTGGCAGGTTCATGATCAGTATGGTCCACTCTGGCCAGGAAAGAATCATAGAATCATAGAATCATTAAGGTTGGAAGAGACCTCTAAGGTCATCGAGTCCAACCGTCAACCCAACACCCCCAGGCCCACTAAACCATGTCCCTCAGCGCCTCATCTACACGTCTTTTAAATACCTCCAGGGATGGGGACTCAACCACTGCCCTGGGCAGCCTGGTCCAATCTTTAACCACTCTTTCAGTAAAGAAATTTTTCCTCACGTCCACCCTAAACCTCCCCTGGCGCAACTTGAGGCCGTTTCCTCTCGTCCTTTCGCCAGTTGCTTGGGAGAAGAGACCGACCCCCACCTCGCTACAGCCTCCTTTCAGGTGGTTGTAGAGAGCCATGAGGTCTCCCCTCAGCCTCCTTTTCTCCAGGCTAAACAACCCCAGCCCCCTCAGCCGCTCCTCAGCAGACTTGTTCTCCAGACCCCTCACCAGCCTCGTTGCCCTTCTCTGGACACGCTCCAGCCCCTCGACGTCCTTCTTGGAGTGAGGGGCCCAAAACGGAACACAGTATTCGAGGGGCGGCCTCACCAGCCTCAAAGCAGCAAAGGCTTTTGTTGTTCCATTTTCCCTCTGGTTCACAGGGATACAGAAGAACGTGCAGGCACTGCACTACATCCTGAAACACCCCCTGGTTTATCGGGACACAAAGCCACGACTGGACAGCGTACAGAAGCCCTACGTGCCTCGGAAAAAGGTAAAACGCCGAAGCTCTGAAGGGAGAATGGTTGCGTCTGTATCTGGATCAACCCACGTGTTTGGATGGATGCCGAGAGCCCCGAGTGTGGGCTTGGCCCCAGTTCCCGATCCCAGCGCCTCCCCGTTCTCTCTCCCTTGTGGCGTGGTGCACGCAGCCCCCACGGGCACCGACCTGCCGGGATGGGTACTCTGGGGGCTGATAAATGGCCAAGAGCCGTGCTAGCCCCCGGGGCAGCGCGGGGGGAACCGCTTGTCACCAACCCCTCGGAGAAAGCCAGCCCCGTCCCAAGGGAGGCAGAGGAAACGGCCTCCGAGCTGGGTCGTGGTAGAATTTCAGCCTCTGAATCCACTGCGCTGCTCTGGGGTTGCGGAAAGCTGATCCAGTGTGGCTCAATGACCTTAAGTTGGTGTCTAAACCAGACCGGCTTGGTCCAAAAAAAAAGAGATCGTCTCACCTCCCTCGTGCGGAAGCACGGGCCCATGTTAGTTTAGGAGAGGGGGCAGGAAAAGGAGGTGGGAGATCATCAGCCTGGAGGGTGGCGGGGAGGCACGCCGCAGCCTCCTGGTCTTCCTTGTAGCATGGGAGGGTGCCCGGCCCTCCCGCCCGACAGACAAGAGCAGAGGTCCTGGAGGGAATCCTGACGGCCATGAGAAACACCTCGACCATCACTGAAGTCCCCTTGGGTATGTTCCTGCATTCCCAGTCTCTCCTGTTGACGGCACCGCAGAGGCAGGGGCAGGATCTGAACGTAAAGGTGTCCCTGAGCTGGCGGGGTCCTGGGGTGCGGCTGAGTCGGGAACGGAGGGTCCCT